GCATCCCCGACCCAAATGAGGCGCCTAAGAGGACCAGCGGCGGGTTTTCAGGTGGAGAATCACATCTAGTCCTCACAGGGGAGGCTGACATCGTTTTTAAGGGTGACCGGCCACTGCAGAGGCGCACAGAGAGGTTATGATTCCAGCGCGCGCTGGAACATTCTAGGTGGCCGGGAGCTGGAAGGGGCTCTCTCGTTAGGTGCCACGGTATACACATGCCACGGAATATTATCCAGCCCTTAAAAAGGAAGACAATTCTGACACATGCTACACCATGGATAGACCTTGAGACCTGTCATCTGAAGACAAATACTGTAGGATTCCACTTATAGGAGGTGGATAGAAGAGTCAAATTCATAGACACAGAAAGTAAGTAGAATGGTGGTTGCCAGTGGCTGGGGACGAGGAGGAATAGAAAGCTGTTTCATGGGCAGGATTTCAGTTTTGCCAGATGAAGAGAGTACTGGAGATGGGTGGTGGTGACAGGTACGCAAAATGCCAATGTACTTAGTACCACTGGACTTCATACTTACAATGGTTAAGGTAGCGAATGTTACACTGTGTGCCGTTTACCACAATCAAACATTCTAAGAGAAGTTTTAAAATCTGGGTGACAACGAACATCACACTCAATGAAGAAAAGCGAAAAGCTTTTCCTCCAAGATTAGGGACAAGACTAGGATGGCCCTTCTCATCACTTGTTTTCCTCACAGTGCTGAGAGTTGTAGCCAGAGCAATTAGGTAAGAAAAAGAAAGGAAAGCATCTGAATTGGAAAGGAAGAAGAAAAACTGTCACTATTTACAGATGACAAGGTATTATTAATAGAAAACTCTCTTTAAAAAAAAAAAACACACCAAAACTACTGTTAGAACTAAAACAAATTCAGTAAAGCTGTAAAATACAAAACCACAATACAACTTTCTGTTGCATCTCCATACATTAATAACAAATTATTGGAAAGAGAAATTAAGAAAGCAATCTCATGTACAATTGCATCAAAAATAATAAAATGTATATGAATAAATGTAAGGAGGTGAGAGACCTGTGCACTGAAAACTATGAGATATTGATGAAAAAAATTGAAGACACAGATCCTGTAAATGGAAAGATATTTAATGCTCATGAACTGGAAGATGTAATATTGTTAAAATGTCCATACTACCCAAGCGGTCTCCAGATTCAACATCATCCCTACCGAATTCCAGTGATTGAACCTGCCACCTAGGCATGTTCCTTGACCAGGAATCGAACCTGCAACCTTTGGATGTACAGGACGATGCTGACCCACCCCGCCAGGGCAAGGTTTTAACTAGACTTGCTGTGGAGACCATTTAGCAATATATACACATATCACAGCATGATGTCATACCGCTGAAGCTAATGTAAGGTTATATGTCAATGACATCTCAATTTTTTTTTTTTAAAAAGGGTGCATTTCAAACATGATTTTGCCTTTTTGACCTGGTTCCACTGCTTTCACTGACCTGGGAATGTTTAGAGGCTGCTACTGGGCTTATAAACTGAAAGGTATTTTCTTGACTTTGCTGGAGACAAATGAGACTCTACAACAAACAGACTTCTTGTTTCATTGTGTGTTTTTTTTGGTGTGTGTGTGTGTGTGTGTGTGTGTGTGTGTGTGTTAGTCCTTGCCAGAGGATATTTCTCCATTGATTTGTAGAGAGAGTGGAAGGGAAAGGGAGAGACAGAGAGAGAGAAACATGGATGCGAGAGGGACACAGCGATTGGTTGCCTCCCACATGCCCCTGACCTGGGCTGGGGACCGAGCCTGCAACTGAGGCACGTGCCCTTGAACAGAAATCAAACCTGCGACTCCAGTCTGCGGATCAAGGCTCCATCCACTGAACCAAACTGGCTAGGGCACACGCTGACTTTTTTTGCCAACGAACTTTAAGGTTCAAATAGACCAAACTCACTCATCCCGAGCGCTCGTTTCATTTAAACGAAGAGCTCAGGGTGCTGTCAGAGTGAGGGAGCAGCAGCCCCGGGCACCGCAGCATAAGCAGCCTCAGGAACGCAAGGCGAACAGATGAGCAGCTGCGAGCGGCGAGCTCAGCCCCTTCCTGTCACTTCTCGCACCCACTCATTCTCCCTGTCATTCAACACATAACATTCTGCTCATCCACCTTTTTCAAACTCTGAGAATAAGACATGAGTTCTCACAACTCCCTCTCGTAGGGGAAAAAATAAAGGACACATGCACAACCGATCAACAATGGCTTCAGCTGCATTCGCGAAGCTCCTCTACAATAGACCAGGAATCTGGCGAAATAAAACGACGTGGCCATGAGCTTCTAATTTAATTCTGCATCTAATCCAAAAAGAATCAAAGAGCTACTGTTATGCCTCCGCTGGCAACAATTCATTTAATTCCTGTCTCAATCTACCTCGGCGATTGTCAACCCGTGTGCAGCAATAATTTTTAAAACATGCAAAACCTGACTATTTTGTCGGGGACACTGACCTTTTCCCTTAGATTGTTGAATAAAAAATAATAATAACAACAGCCAACACAACAATAGCCATCCGGTGTGAATGAACCAAAAGTATGCCTATCTTCTTGGTCAGAGAGGCGAAAACGTATTTTGGGTGTGTGGCAGAATTTTAGTAGTTAGGCCACGTGTGCCACGAGATGAAGAGCGTTGAGCTGCTCTCTTTCTGAAGCGGCCAAGCTAGCAGTGTGGAATCCTGGCTCACCTGAGCCATCGGCCCTGCCCTGCAGCCACCCCTCCGTGCGAAGTTCCACGTGGAGCTCAGGAGCCAGGGGTTTTGGTGTCATCAGTGTCTAGGTAGATGGCAGGCAACCATGAGATGCCAGGGGATTGCTCGAGTAGAACACAGATAGTGAGATTGGGGGGGGGGGGAGACCTTGGGGGAGAAGTGTGGGGAGGGACCAGCAGCAGAAAGGGGCTGGGAGCAGAAGTGGTGGTCCCACAGCTACTGTGGTCTCGGCGGAAGGAAGGCGGTGTCATTAGGCCGCGTACTAGGAGGCCCCTGGTGGTGCTTTCAGAAGAGCATTGCTGCAGCGTTGGGCGGTGAAAGCGAGGGTGACACCTGAATAAGAGGGAACGTGATGGGGGCAGATCAATGTCGAGTTCTCTTAAGGGGACTGATCAGGAAGCGAACGGGCACAGGAGGGGAGCCCCAGAGGCGGTGGGGGAGGGGGTCCCCATGTGGAGGCTGCGTGATGTCTGCTGGTATTGAACGTGGGTTGGTGTTGAGCACTTGTGCAGATTGTGGTGAGAGTGATTCTGTGTGTGTGTGTGTGTGTGTGTGTGTGAGAGAGAGAGAGAGAGAAAGAGAGAGAGAGAGAGAGAGAGAGAGAGAGAGAGAGAGAGAGAGATTGATTTTGACTGAAATTGAGATTTAAGACTCAAAAAAGGGTGATCAGAAGAGGGATGGTCCTGAGCTCCTAGGGTGGTGATACTTGAGAGCCAGAACCAGGCAGGAGGATGTGCCTCAGTAAGGGAAAACCTTTTCACAAAGGAAAAGCAGGCCAGGCTCAGTGCCACCTCTTCCACGGAGCCCTCGATCCAGACCCCAGCTAGCCGGGGGCCAATGCCCTCCCTCCCCGTGGCAGGGCCCGTGCAGCGTGGGTGCGGAGCAGCTATCTATCTGCAGCCACAAGGACAGAGACCTGGTCTACATGGGTCCGAACGGGTCCTGCCCAGAAGCCTGAAGCTCCACTGTGGCCTGGGCAGCGGGTGCTGGGCCCAGTGATGTCCACCGCTCTCTTTGATGCTCTTCTTTGCCTCTCCTTCCACTTCACCCCGCCCCCCTGCCCCAGCTCACGTTTCCTGTGCGTGTCTCCTCCTGTGGACAGAGACACCGTGACCTTCTGTGACAAACACCCAGAGCCCGATGACAAGGAGGCCGAGCCTTTGTCCCTCCCTAAGGAAACCTGAGCAGTGCAGGCGGGCCAGCGTGGGAAGGGCTGGCTCCTCCTCCTCCTCATTCCCTCCTGTCCCTGTCCCTGTCCCACAGGGGGCACCTTCCCAGAAGCACTAATCAGCTCCAGTCCATGCAGTGCCCAGACCTGAAATGGGCTGAGCATCTGCAAAAGAGTCAGCAGCCCCGAGCTCTGCGGGACAGGGGGAGAAAGCAAACACCCAGCAGACAGGTGGTGGGTGACACGGTCTGCTGCCAGGCCTCCCTCCCACAGAGAGGCTCCGCCCAGCCCATGGCCGGGCTGGTTTCTCCGAGGGCTGACTTCCCTGCTTGTCCATGCTCAGCCCTCAACATCACTCCCTGCAGGTGGGCCCTGGCCCAGGCCTCCTGGTGAGCACCCAGCTCCTACCTCATCCCCAAAGGCAGCCCCGCCCTATGCCCCAGACACAGTCCTGGCGATAACGCACCTGCGTCCCCTGGCCTTCATGTCCCCAGCCTTTGGCCCCCGTGCCTTCCATGACCGCTGGTGGAAATGCACTCGGCTCCTGCACACGGCCTAGTTCATGAGCCCCTGGTTCATGAGCCCCCTTCCACTCCCAGGTCCCCAGACCACAGCACAGCGGCCGCCTCAGGCATTTGCCTGCCACCCGCCACCTGCTGGACACCGTGGAGGAGACCACCCATGGAGACCACTCCCAGCGCCACCAGAAAGTACCCATGGCCCAGGCTTTCTGCTTCCACACTGGCCTCAACTCCCTCCTTTATCCAATGAGCACATGACAGCACAGCTTTCCAGGGTGGCGCTGCGGCCCCGGTGACACAGGGAGGCAGAGGCAGCCCACACCCAGCCCATCATCAGTGAGTGTGGGCCCGCCCTCCCGCTTCGATCACAGCAGAGTACAGGACGCCGCCCAGCTGGAAGCAGCCAGACGAGCGCCTATGAGTCCATCAGACCTCCCGTGAATCTAGACTCCAGCACTTACTCTCTGTGTGACACACAAAGCCATCAGCCCCCTGTAGCCTCGGCGCGCTCATCTACAAAGCCTTTCCCCCGGTTTTGTGGGATAATGAGATGAGACCAGGAGGAACACACCTGTATTCAGAAGCGTTGAATAGAAGTCTGCTCTCCTGCCCGATCCTCTCTGGAACACGCAGGCGGGGCGGCGGGCTTTGCTCCAACCACCTCTGGATTTCCCAGGAGGCACCGGATCCTCCCCCGTCTGCTCCAGGCCTCAGCTCCTCTGCAGGCCCGGGGTGTGTGATGCAGGCACAACCGCCCTTACCTGTTCGCTGAATCCAGGTGCCAGCTTGCATCTGAGAAGCCCACAGTTGTTCGTCCAAACTAAACGGGGACCTGGGGAGAGAGTGACTTTGTCAGGAGTGGGGTCAAGAACAGCCCTCCTGTTTTGCTACAATGGTTATTTACAACTGTGTGTTTCTCCCCGTGCCGCCTGTCGGCTGCTGACTGCACCGTAGTAAAGAGGGCTGGAAGGAGCAGGAAAAGAGGATCCCTCCTCCCAGCCCCTGCCCACTGAGCCGCCCAGGAGGGACGGAGAGGGGTGCAGGGAGGGGTCGAGGCAGAAGGCCAGAGCCTGATTCCCAGCTTAGTGGTTTGGGACTCTGGGAAAGTAACTTGACCCCCGTGAGCCTCAGTTGCCTCATCTATAAAATGGGCGTGATAACATGGCCCGAGAACGCAGTGTGGCCCAGGGAATGGCACAGTGCTGACCTTGCGTGCTTGCACTATAATTAGCTCGAGTTGAAGGAGCAGGGCTTGAGTTCTGGACAGAAAGGAAGGGAAACAAACGGTGATATAAAGTGCCTACTATGTGCTGCTATTGCATAGACTTTTGTATTTCCTCCTCCAAACAAGCCGAGGTGGGTGTACTCCCATTCTAAGGGAAAGTCTGAAAGCCTTGGAGAGGGGAAGTGACAGGCTGCGGTCTGCATCAATGGCAAGGGACCCAGCCACCTGTGCCTGCCTCCTAAGTACTGTGTCACGCCAGGACGCCTGGAGCTGTGGGAGGTGAGGCGTTCACAGTGGGCTGGGTTGCTGGCCAACGTTCAGAGGGGGAGGATGTCCCTTCAGGACACATAGTGTGGCTGTCACCCCAGCCCCAGAGCGGAGGGGCTTCCTCCTGCCCTCCATCACCAGCTCAAGGGGGTGGAGGAGAGGCACAAGGTAAGACAGATGCAGGTTAGTCTTCCGTAACCACCCAGATCAAAGGAGCCGGCCCTCCAGCCCTAACACCAGCAGAGTCCTTTCTACATCCGTCCCCAGCCTGGAATGCTCTCGCCTGGCCACTTCCTCCCTGCGCCTCAGGTCTGTGTGTAACACGCCCTTCCTCGAGCATCCCTCCTGGGTCTCCTGTCCTGGGACCCTGCCGTCTGCCGGCCCTGGCACTTATGCCCGCACTCACACGCTGCCCAATAACTGCCCCTCCCGGATGATGCTCTAAGAGGGCAAGGGCTGCCAGTTTTACTCCCGGATGAGACAGCCCCAAACACAGAGTCGTGGACATCAACACCAGTATGATGGCATCATCACTAAGCAGGACGATGTAGGTGGAATTCGGAGAACACCACCCAGTGACGCACAGGTGGGCAGGGGGTACCGATGTGGGCTTGTCACCATCTGCACAGGCAGTGGGCTCTGGTGGTGTCTGCATATGCTCCTGCATTGGTTCCTGCATGTGTTCATTAAGTCAGCACACCGTCTTGGAGCCAGGAAATCCTGTGCCCAGAAGATCCAAAAGTCATGAAGACTTGCCCGGCTGGCATGGCTCAGGAGTTGAGCTTCGGCCTATGAACCAGGAGATCCCGGTTCAATTCTTGGTCAGGGCACATGCCTGGTTTACAGACTCTGCTCCCAGTGTGGGAACTGCCACTCAATGATTCTCTCTCATCATTGATGTTTCTTTCTCTCCCTCTTCTTTCCTCTCTGAACTCAATAAAAATAGATGTACAAAGAAAGCCATTAAGACTGAAGAGCCTGACCTCGCTGGGCATGGAAATGCGTGAACTCCACCACGAGTGGCAGGGGCTGTGCTAGAGGTGAAGGCGGGTGGATAATTCCAGCCTTTCCGGCAGGTTTGGGAGACCAGCCGGAAGGGAGAAGGCAGGGCCTGCTGAGCATGGGGGACCACGACAGACCCAGGACTCCGGTGCCATTAGTGGAGCTAGAAGCAGTTCAGTCCAGAATTAGGGAGCGTTGGAGTATTTTACTAAGCCCCCCAGGAACTTGGCAGGCTGACCACGGGGAGAGGGTGCAGGACAAGGTCTTGCGGATCCAGCCTCAGCCCGATTTCTTTCCCGGGTGGGTATCTAGGCCGGGTGTAGTCGCCTCCACCTAACGTTTAAGCCCCGAGACCTCATGAGAGTCAGCATCGCTGAGAGCTGCCAGGACAGTCCGGGCAGCAGCTCTCAGCTTCCCGATGTGGTTGAAACAGGACCTTGGTTGGGGAGGGGTTTGCCTCTGGGGCTGGGGCTGTCTTCATCAAACCTACCCCCCCCCCCCCAAAATGCCCTTCCTTCTTACTCAGGTAGCATTAGCAAAACGACCAGGCTTTGAGCTAAAAATACCAATGCTTTATGCTCCTCCACGGGGGGAAAAGGAGACAAGAGGATCTATGAACGTAACAAGGAATTTCATCCTTCAGTGGCCTTCGGAATGGGTATTTTGGACTCAGCCATCCATAAACACTGGGTGATATCAGACTCTCTAGAGCAGAATGGATCCCACAGAGCGAGCCCAGCCCCGCATGAGGCCAGGGCGGGGGCTCTCTGGGAGCGTCTGACACTCTAAGTGATGGCGAGCGTCCTCTGTGCCCAGGCGGAAGGACCGCACGGTCAAGGGTGAGCAATGGAGGGCGACGTGCAGGGCCATGGGCGCAGAGGGGAGCTCAGGCCCTGAGCTCAGGCAACTGTGAGTCAGCTGGGGCCTGGGGGCTACCAGTCAAAATCCCGGTGACACCAGACCCTGCCTGTGACCTGCCTGGATCCTAGAGACCACAGGATTTGTGAGGCGCTGCACCGGGGGCCCTTGCATTAGCTCCCACTACGCCCAATTCATTCTCACCCTCCACTCCAGCCTGAGAGGTCAGAGCTGTCTGTCTCTCTCTCTGTCCTTCTCCCCGCGCCTTCTGCAGGCCCTAGGCCTCTGCACTTGCTCTTCTCCTGGCCTGGTCGGCCCTCCAAGTTGTCTCAGCTTGAACATTACACCTTCTGGAAGCCCCACCCTCTCAGGAAGATCACCTGCCTTTTCTGCAGTGGCTTGTGGATTCCAGGCAGTCCATGCTACGCCTGCCCCTGCTTGCTGCCACCTCTCCTCCAGTCCCAGCCCCGCCAGGGCCCTCCCCATCCTGCTGCGCTGACCAAGCTCCTCTCAACGCACCTGCCTCCCCCATGCATCCCTCCCCTGAGCAGCCAAGACCCTTCTCCTATCCGACCCTCCATCCCTGAAGTTTCCCCCACGGACTCTCCCCGTCTGAGTCAAACTGAACGAAAGACTCAGAACCTCCTCATTCCAGGGTCAGCCCAAATGTCACCTCCTCCCTGAAGCCTGCCTGGCCAGAACCTGCAGCACTGCCCTCGCACACACTGCCCCTTGGCCCCAGTGCCCCTCCAGCCTCCTCGGAAATGAGTGTCTATCTCAGCCAAGTCGAGAACATGGGGTCTGAGCCACCTTTAGCTCCCCTGGAATCTGCACGGCTCCCGACACATGGGCCCCGGCCTCCCTCCAAAACTGGGATCAGGAGAAGTGAAATAAAGGGGCTTCCATCCCTCATGTTAGGAGCTAGTTACCTGGGTCACAAGAGGCAGGGGCACGTCTCTGCGATCAGCAAATAGCAAGGCAAATTCTCCCCCGGAAGGCTGTGCCATGTGCACCCGTCTCTGCCCACTGGAGGTTTGGGGGAAGACGGGGCGGCGTGCTTAACAGAAGCCACGTCACCGAGGATGCACAGGGGATCCCCCCAGTCCTGTGCTGAGTGGTTGACATTCCTTGTCTCCTCCAACCCCCACAACAAGCTGACGAACTACCTTCAGCTACCTGCCTTGGACAGAACGGAAAACCAAGACGGTATTTAAGTCCCGGCCTGGCCAGTCCCACGGATTTCAAGGGGTCAAGCCTCCCTCCAGGTTTAAGCTCCAGGGGCCTGGGCCCAGAGCCAGAGCTCAGAGCCACCACGCTTCCCCCAAGTCTCGGCAGCACCTACTTGGCCTCGGGTGGGCGCGTGGAGGGGAAGCACAGCTCCCTAACATGCAGATGGACTCTTCAGCTGCAGGCTTGCTCACCCCAGACCTTTTCATCCCCCACCCCAACTCCCCAGGGTTCCTGAGACTGACAGAGTGGAGCACTGCATTTCCAAAGATGTCCCTCATTATGTCCTTTGGATCACCCTCTGTCTTCCCAACGTTGCAAAGGCTGGAGATCGAGATGCCAAGTGGAATTGCATTCATCACGGAGACAGCCATTGGCCGCCTCCCACCTGACCCCCAGGCCTCTCCCAGCCCCATGTCCTCACGAGCTGACCCCCAGGCCTCTCCCAGCCCCACGTCCTCACGAGCTGACCCCCAGGCCTCTCCCAGCCCCACGTCCTCACACCTGACCCCCAGGCCTCTCCCAGTCCCACATCCCCATGAGCTGACCCCCAGGCCTCTCCCAGTCCCACACTCTCTGGCTCACAAACAGTCCCTGTGAATAATAGGTCTGGTCTCAGACACTATGCATGATAAAGTGACCTGGTGCAGAGTCCTATTAAGATAAATCACATTTAAGTTTGGGAAATTGGATGTTTGAATCCTGTAATTTAACGTCACTGTGACACTTCAGAGGAAGGAGAAGGAACTCAATTAGAGTTTAATTAGCCCGGGCGACTGGCGCGGCCTGGGCTGCCTTCCTGCCTCTGGAACGGGAGTTCAGCAGAGCGTCCCATAACGCCAGCCCCTGCGCCTTAGTTTCCCCACCTGTAAAAGGGGGACAGTCCTCTGGCAAAGAAGAGCAGCCTTGAATAAGACAGAGAAGCCCCGCCCAGTGCCCACCCGCGCCCTCTCAACCCTGCTCGCGATCCCCCGCCAGCTTCTGCTCGGGGCCTGGGTGGGCTCAGAGTTTCTATGGGCTCCACCCCACATGCTGCAAATCTCCCAGGGAAGCGGGTTTGCAGGGGAG